GTTCTGGGTCCATCGTTCGACGGGCATCCCTACTAGGGGGCCACGAACCGTGTGAGGGGTGTGCCGAAATGGGCGCCGCATGCGAACCCTGCCACTGGGGCCTTCGGTGGAGCTCCCTATAGCGAAACGAGTGAGGGGTGTGCCGAAATGAGGGGGGTGACGGGAGGAGGGAGGAGGAGGAGGAGGAGGAGGAGGAGGAGGAGGAGGAGGAGGAGGAGAGGAACGCGGGGACCGTCTCTTCAAAGCGAGGACCCAACACCACAGGATGGGAACAAGAGCTGGAGCGGCGGGTTTGAAGCCGTTTTCGGCCTCCGGGGACCCCTCGCTGGGCCTCGGGAGCGTCCAAAAACGACTCGGGACGAGAAGCTGGACCTTGGGGAAGTGGTCCGGACCTCCGGGGCCCACGCCTCGAAACAATACGGAGCGGTCGGATGCCTGGGCACACGCTGTCCTCCCCCCCCTCCTGGAGGACAGCGTGCACCGAGGAGGCCCCGGCAGGGGGGCAGCGTGCACAGGAGGGGCCCCCTCGCGGAGGGGGGATCGCCTCGCAGGGGCACCGCGGGCTCTTCCTCTGAGAGCGATGTGCCGCACGGTGTGCCTCTGCGGCGCCGGCCGTGCGCAGAGGCTTCCTCTTCTGGCTCCCGAGGCACGAGCTTGAAGTCGGGCATGTCCCTCTACGGGAGGAGAATTCAAAAATAGTCAGAAAAATAGTATGGGGACGATTAGTGTGTACTATTTTTGGCTATTTGGATACGTTTTTGGAGTATGTTTCGCTTTTATGCCAAAATCCGCCTGTAGGAGGACATGCCCGACCCGACACGAGCTCCCCTCCGCTCGCTCGCCACCCCCTGTGCTGCACGCGGCGAGAGCGCCGGCCAGCTGGCTCCCCTCGGAGGCCACCCCTCCACCCTGACACCCCAGCCAGGGGTAGTTCCGATGCCGCGGGCTCGAGGCGGTGCGGTGTCCCCGGCCGCCGAGTCGAACCGATTCGATGCGGAGGTGCCCGTTCGCGATCCCGATTTCAAGAGTTCGCCCGATCCGACTCTTGCCGATTCGATGTGTCTGTCTGTCTGCCTGTCTGTCTGTCTCTCTGTGCTGGGGGCGAGGACGGCACGAGGACGACGACGAGCTCGACGGCAGCGACGATGAGGAGCTCGACGGCAACGAAGACGAGGCCAGGGCCGTGTCTGGTGCTGGAGGAGGCCTCGGCCAGGGACCAGCAGACGGAACTTGTTGCATCCTTGCCCCGCTTGTGGCGGCGGCAGCAGCGGCCCCCTGCTGGCTGTGCAAGGGCGCTGGGGGCGGCGTTCGTCGTCGCCGTTCGAGGCTCAAGGATCCAGGATCGCGGTACTTCGAGGGAACGCTAACACGGATGAAGGCGCGTGGATTCGCGACGAGTTCCGTTTCCGTGCAGAATCGGCGCGCTCTCGCTGAATGAGGCGGCACTCTTGGCATCGCTCGGACGTGTGCATTTTTTTCTCGGCGACGGCCATCGAGGACCATCCTTGATCATTTTGCGGAAAAAAAAAAAAAACACGCGCGAAATCGAAAAATACACGAGGAATGGACGTCCGAGCGATGGCGAGCACTGGCTTCATGTGTCCCAGGCACCTTCCCCGATCCATGTTACAGTAGGGCCGAGGCATATGATCGAGGTCGGTTCATTCGGGGAGGGTGCCCCAATGTTCTTCTGTGCCTGTTGGATGTTCCTGTGCACCCGGGGGGGTACCCTTGGATGTTATGTTCGTTTTGGCCGACGGAGGGTCTCATGTTTCTCGAGGGATGTTCTTCTAGCCTAGGTTTAAGTCGGGCCTGTCCCTCTACAGGGGGGAAAATCAAAAATAGTCAAAAAATAGTCAGGGGATTATTTTTTGACCATTTTGGGGCATTTTTCGAATATATTTTTTATTTTTCGAAAATCCCCCTGGAGGAGGACACGCCCGACTTAAGCCCAGGTCCGCCTGTGGCGTGCGCCCGAGTGGTGGCCGCGTGCCCGGCCTCCGTCCCGGAGAGCTGCAGGGGCCCCCGGGAGGCGGCCCAGCCCGGGGAGGGGGGGCGCCCCCAGAGTCGGGGCGCTGGGGCCGCCCCGGGCCTTCCCCTGGGCGGCCTGCTGAGGCGGGGGCGGCCCCCCCCCCCAGACCCCCATCGAGTAATGAAAATTCATGACGGGAGGTTTTTTCCCGAATTTTCGGCCTCCGGGGCCCCTCACCGGGCCTCGGGAGCGTCAAGAAACGACTCAGGATGCGAAGCCGGTCCATGGGGAAAGGGTCGGGACCTCTGGGGGTCGACGTAACGAAAAAATCATTACGTCGGGGGTCTGGGCCTGGGGGCCTGCCAGGACCCGGCAGATCACGCACACATCACGCACACTTCACCCTTGGAGGCCTCGCCTGTGCACGACCGCTCCGCGCGCCTCGCGGCCCGATCGCAGGTCTCGCCGGGAAGTCTCGTCCGAGCCATCCTACATCGCCCTGCTAGGAAGCCCTGTGGCTCAGCAACTCGACATGAGAAGCGCCAGCTTCCCAACTGATGGGAAGGGGACTCCACGGTGCGACAGCTGACCCAGGAGGAGGCCCTTTCGGCCGCATCGCACACAGCCAATTCTCTCGTTCTGCTTTTCCAGACCCCCGACGTCGTGATTTTCTTCTGGCGTGGACCTCCTGCGGTCTGGACCCCTTCCCTGGGACCCGTTTCTCAACCTGAGTCGTTTTTCGACGGTCCCGAGGCGCGGTGAGGGCCCCTGGAGGCCGAAAAGAACGACAAATGTTCCGCCATGATTGCTTCATGACCAGAGGGGGTCTGCCTTCTGCGCACCCGCGACGGCACGCCAGGACTCTAGACAGCCTTCGACCTGATGTGTCGATCCGCGGCTCCAGAGTGACGTCGGGCCTGTCCCCATACAGGAGGAATACTCAAAAACAGTCTGGGGACGACGTTTTGACCATTTTTCTTTGTTTGGGGGGTATTTTTTGGGGTATGGTTTATTCTCCGCCCAGAATCCCCCTGTAGGGGGGACACGCCCGACCTAAGTCCGGAGCGCTGCCCCGCGGGGCCGGTTCTCGGCCCCTGCCCCGGTGCCCGACAGCGGGCCCCGGACGGACTGCGAAGCTCGCGATCGTCAGGTCGGGCCTGCCCCTCTACCGGCCTGCCCCTCTACGATGCGTCCCGGCTCGCCTGTAGCCCCGCCAGACAAGGTTCTATAGGAGCTCCTCTCAACTTGGGCCTCCCTCTTTTGTGTGTCTCCTCCTGTTTCCTCCTCTGGGGGCCTCTCTTGCCTTGGGCTTTTTTTTGGTTGGTCATCCCCGGCCCTCTCTGGGCCTCGGGGCTCGGATCCGAGGCGGGAATTTATCCATATCCACCGCCTGGAGGGTCAGTTATCGGAGCGCCTCGGCAGGCGGTGGACATGAACATATTCGGACCCCCGGGGGCCGACATACAAACCTTTTGTGGTTTCCACGAAATGTTCTTAGAACATTTCTGGTTGATAATGTCTTGTTTTAACACATCGGGTTCATGTTCTAAGAACCTTGTTTCTGTTCTTAGAACATGTTTGGGTTCTAAGAACATTTCGTGGTAGGATTATAGGAATGCTGGGACGGTCGGTCCCTGCTCAAGTATAGCCAATCGGGGGGGACAGACCACCCACCCTGACACGTCGATTAAGGAATCGGCCGTTTTCGGTTCGCAAGAGGGCGTCGCGGCCGTCGTTTTTGTGGGTCCAGGTCCGTCGGTTTCGGTCCTAGGCCGTTTTCACTAAGGGGAGGTTTTGCTACAGGGAGGTTTGTTCACCGCCAAGAGAGCGCTGAGACTGAAGGCGAAGGTCGCTACCGTTAGGTCGGGCCTGTCCTTCTACAGGAGGACTACTCCATGATCGTTTAAAAAATTGTCGGTGGACGATGTTTTGACTATTGTTTGACAGTTTTGAAGTCTGGTTTGACTATGTTCTATTGTTCGCCCAAAATCCCCCTGTAGGGGGGCATGCCCGACCTGACACGACCGGGCCTGTCCTTCCACAGGAGGACTAGCCGAGGATCGTCAAAAAATAGTCAGGGGACGATTTGTGGATCATGTTTTGACCATTTTGAAATATTGTTTGGAGGTCGCTACCGTCAGGTCGGGCCTGTCCCTCTACAGGAGGACTAGTCAAGGATCGTCAAAGAATAGTCAGGTCACGATGGATTATGGTTTGACCATTTTGAAATATTGTTTGGAGGTCGCTACCGTCAGGTCGGGCCTGTCCCTCTACAGGAGGACTAGTCGAAGATCGTCAAAAAATAGTCAGGGGACGATTGTTTGATTTTTTGTTGACCGTTTTGAAATATTGTGGGAGGTGGGGGGGAAAACAAAAACCCAGAAAAATATGTGGGGAAATGTGGGGAATTCTGTTACTTGTGTCTATCATTTTGTGTGTCCCAGGGCCCCTTCATTATTGTTCGCCCAAAATCCCCCTGTAGGGGGACATGCCCGACCTGACACTATCGTCGGAGCTCTCGGGCCGTAATCTTCCAGGACCCGTTTCCTCCATTCGGAGACGTTTGTGGTCTATGCCTCCTGGAAGGGGTCGGAGTAGATGGTGTCGGAGGATCGCGCCGCATCGCCGATGCATCGACGATGCGGCTCGATGCAGAGCCCGATTTGTCTCCACGCCGACGTCGCCGATGCATCGGCGATGCGGCGCGATCCTCCGACCCGATCTGCTCCGACCCCTATCTGGGAGGCCTCTAAATGGGTGTGGTTGTGCCGTGGTGTGGTTTGCGATCAGCGCCGTGGGGGCTCTTGGAGCCACCACGTTGCGCCAAAGGTTTGCGGAGCCCTCGTCGGGTCACGGCGGAGATCTCTGTCGATGTCCTCGCCCGTTCCCCCCCCCCCCCCAGGCGCGGGTTGCAAACCACACCCTTTTGCAGACCACGCCCTTCCCGGGTCGCCGACGTTTGCTGCCGAACGTCCTCATGCATCCGGGGGGGCCCTGGCCGTCCCCTTGCGGGCGCTGGGCCGCAGAGGTGACGGGCAGTGAGAACGCCTTCCGCTTCGAGCTCATCGACGCCAGCGGCCTGGACGAGGTCAGCTTGTCCACGCTGGCGGCTTCCCCGCACAAGGCGACTGCAGGGGGGCTCCTCCTCGTCCTCGTTCTCTTCCACCTCTCCTCCACGACATCTCCCTCATCCTCCTCCTCCTCCTCCCCCTCATCTTTTTTCCTCCTCCTCCTCCTCCTCCTTTTCCTTCTCCTCCACATCTTATTAGCCTCCCCCTCCTCCTCCTCCCTTTCTCCTCCTCCTCCTCCTCCCTTTCTCCTCCTCCTCCTCCTCCTCCCCCTCCTCCTCCTAAGTCACTCTTGTGATAACGGAAATCCTGGAAAACATCGCCTCCTCCTCCTCCTCCTCCTCCTCCCTCTCCTCCTCCTACTCTTCCCCTTCCTCCTCCTCCCTTCCAGCCTTCTCACCTCCTTCTCTCCCTCCCTCCTCACCGAACTAGACGCCCAGACGACATCGGGCCCATGTCTATCGAGATGCGCCCGATCCCTACACAGCTCCTCATCCTCCTCCAAGCTTCTTCCCCCTGCTCCATTCCTCTTCCTCAAAATCACCCCTACCTGTCGTGCTACCAGACGTGTCCGTAGGCAGGTCTGGGCATTTCGCTTAAGACTTTCTTGCAAGTTGGCAGTCCCAAGCTTCACATTGCAATTAACACGCGGATGGAGGACCCGTCGTTTTCAGATGGTGCCTCTCGCCATGGCCACGTGCGGTTCTCGCCTAAGAGTTCTTCACACACTCGCACCACGTTGTGGAGCACTGTCCAGCATTCGCGCGGATGGAATTCCGCTGGCCTTCATGGCCAGAAGTTACAGTGCCGTGTTTAATACATGCTCCGCGTGCGGATCATGTATTAAGATGGAGGGGGTTAGCCTTAAAAGCAACGATGAGTTCATGCATGGATGTATGCATACACTAATCATGTGTTAAAGTTCTATATGCTTAAATTCACAGTATTGAAAACTTCCTTGCACGGACGTTGCAACAGATGCGCGGGCGCATTCCCCTCAAACGCTTAAAACTTAAAACTTTGAGCACCTCGATGCTCTCAAAACTTTGAAGCACCTCGCTGTGACTCGAAGGACTGAGGACAGCTTCCTCTCAAGCGTAACTCCCGCCTGAGCCGTATGGGCCCGTGCGGCGCTCGTCGTTCAAGAGGGGGGTCCTTCGCACAGCGAACATGCTGCTTCGAGGGACTAGAGGGAGAATGAGGGGACAATAAGGAGAAGGGAACTTCTAGGGACTTGGGTTTACTCTGGTCACCCTCCCTCGTCAGCCTCCTCCGCCCTCCTCGTCGGCCTCATCCGCCCTCCCTCGCCCCCGCTTCTGTGCCTCCTCCGCCCTCCTCCTGCAGATGCTCATCCTCCTCCTCCTGGGTACCATCCTGCTCATACTCCTCCTGCCTCCTCCTCCTCCTCCTCCTCCTCCTCCTCCTCCTCCTCCTCCTCCTCCTCCTCCTCCTCCTCCTCCGTCTCCTCCTTCGTCTCCTCCTCCTCCCCCTCCTCCTCCTCCTCCTCCTCCTCCTTGCCGAGCTTCACGCAGCTGTGGAGTCGAGATCGGGTCATGGGGAGGCGGCATCTCCGAAAGGGCAGGGGGGCTTCTAAGAGGGGCTTGGACCCTGACACGCCAAGTGCCGCACCCAGATCCCATCGAGCATTGAAGGATCGCGACGGCAGGTGTTTCCGAATGTTCGGCTTCTGAGGGGCCCTGGTGGGCCCCAGGACCGTCAAAGAAAAAAACGCGGGATGAGAAACGGGTTCCCGGGAAAGGGTAGGGTCCTCTGGTGCTCCACGTCGCTGGGAAACCACGCCGATTTCTCAAAGGCTGAGGGCGTTGTTCGGAGGCCGCCATTGGGCCCGTTGAAGTTCTCAGAGGGCCGTCTGAGGCGTCCTGAAGGTCGGTACAGTGGAGACCCATGCCAAGAAACACCTTGCTTGCCTCCAGGGTGCCCGGTTGCTTGGGTTTCGATGGTCTTTCAATGGAAATCGTGGCGTTCCCACACCAAAAATCAATGGACGCCCCGGGGTCTCAGGGTTGGGTTCTTGTGGACGGTTTCTTGTGGACTGGCCTCCACTGTAGTGCGAGAGCTCTAAGATCATCCAAGCACGCAGGGCTTTTCTGTGTCGTGGGCCTCCTGAGCAGGCCCGCGGGGCTCTGCGCACATCGCGGGCAACGAGGAGAAGCCATGCTTGGGAGAGAGGGATGCAGGAGTGGCGTGCCCGATGGAGTCAAGCCGCCAGCCCAAGCGACGTCCAGCCTCCCCTCGAAGCGGCGGGGAGGAGGAGGCGGAGGAGGAGGAGGAGGAGAAGGAGGAGGAGGAGGAGCCAGCGAGGGAGTCATAGCGCTTGCCATGCGGCGCGCGTCGTTCCCGAAGGCACGACGCAGGTGGCAGCGGGCCTCGCCCACTGGCGCGAGCGCGCCTCTCATCTTGCCGCAGGGCACCGGCGGGCGGAACTGGCCTGGCAGCCAGAGCGCCCCCAGGGCCTCTTCAGTGGGGCCAGGGTAAGTGGACGGGGTCGAAGGATCCCGCCGCATCGCCGATGCATCTAGCGGAAAAAAAAGTGGCATAAAAACATAAATATTCGGAGGTCCCCGCGGATTTCTCGGATCGGCGCCGGGGCCTCCCGGCGGCGCCGCCGGCGCCGCCCCTGACGCGCTCCGCGCGCCAGGGAGCAGGGTCCAGTGCCGATCCGAGAAATCCGCGCGGACCTCCGAGTTTTATGTTTATGCCACTTTTTGTTTCCCTGGCATCGGCGCGAAGGGCGCGATGCGGAGTGCGGTGTTCTCCGTGCCGGCGTCGTCGGCGCGTCGGCGATGCACCAGAGTTGCTGCGTTGTCACCTGGCCTTGTCTCTGTCGGACGGGACCCGAACGAGGATACATCCGTTCCAGGGCGTTCTGGAAGAGCGTTCCCGAACGCTCTGAGAGAAGGCCGCGGCGCCCCATATATCCTCCAGAGCCGCCAGATCTCAGCGATTCTCGATTCATCCTCACCCGAATTTCTCTTCGTCCTGGCTTCGTCTTTCTCTGCTCTGGCCCCACTTGGGGGCCTCCGTGGGCGCCTTTGCTGCTCGGGCCACTCGCGACGCCTGGCGGCGCCCGCAACAGGGCTCGAGCTGAACGGTGTTTTGGTTAAGTCGGGCCTGTCCCCCTACAGGGGGATTTTCGACGAAAAATAAAAAATACCCTAAAAATACCCCCCAAAAAAGTCAACAAAATATTCAAAAAATAGTCCCAGGCTATTTTTGGACTATTGTTTGATTATTTGTGGCGTATTGTTTTTATTTTTCGTCGAAAATCCCCCTGTAGGTGGACAGGCCCGACTTAATGTTTTGGCGATTTCGCGGGCCGTTGTCGTTTTGACTTCGCTTCGCGGCAAGAGGCAGAAGGAAGACAGAAGGAAGGACAACGGAAAACAACACGACAACGAAAAGCGCCGTCTAGCTCGAGCCCTGGCCCACAAGGCCGCAAGGTGGGGGCCCAAGGAATGTTCACCACCACCACGTCGATTCCTCCTCTCTCCTCTTTCCAGCGAGAGGGAGGTGGGGAGGGAGGTGGTGGTGGTGTATAGGGGGGGGGCGCAAGGGGGCGGCCTTTCAAGGAGGCCAGGGGGGGCGCCTCCAAGACGGCAGGCGGCCTCTGGGAAACCCTAGCGGCCTCCAGGAAGCCCAGCTTGAAGTCGGGCATGCCCCTCTACAGGAGGACAAATCCAAAGGATAGTCAAAACATAGTCTGGAAACGGTTGTTCTACTATTTTTGAGTATGTTTTGATTACTTTTATTCAATTCGCCCAAAATCCGCCTGTAGGGGGGCACGCCCGACCTGAGCCTAGCTGCTCTGATGCGCTCGTGTTGAAACGCAACCCGTACCGTGCTCAAGACGTCCAGGCTCACCCGCTGCGTGTTGGATCCACGCGAGCAACGAAAAAAACGGGCTCAGTAGCGCCGACATTGGCGCGTAAGCTGCCCGCGCAAGGTCGTGCGTAAGCGCCCTCGTCTCCGATGTGGCGTGCCGCGCTGGCGGCCCGCGCAAGCTGCGGCGTGAGGTCGCTGTGCCATCTCGCGCAAGACCCGCTCTTGATGCCTCGCTCACGCGTTGGCCCGCGTTCTGGCGAACGTGTCGCGCCTGCCCCACGTGTTCAATATGCGTGCTACGTGCGGAGCTCCGTGGCAATACGCTACGGGTTGCGTGCTGCGTGTCGGGGCGGCGAGGCCAGGAAGCCTTCGTACGGACCCCTGCCCTCTCGGAAGCCCTCCGCCTGCTCAGCACCCAGACCTGCAACGTCCTGGTCTTTCGGAATGCGCGCCTCCCGGAAGTCCCGACCTTTTCGAATATTCATTGAGTCGTGTTGCGACGGTTGGCGGAGGTTCTTGAGTCTTCTTGAATCGTGAGTCGTGTTGCGACGATCTCATCAGGACTCACCGTATTCACTGAGTCTCATGGCGCCTTCTCGATTCAAAATAATACTCATCGGGACTCATTGGCGTCTCATCCTGAGTCGTGTTGTGACGGTCTCTCGCAACGGCCCCCCGCGCTGCCCCTCCACCATGCGGTTGTATCGCTTCATTCGCTCGCCTGCGCTCGCGTGGGCGTATCCGTACCCGCCGCCGCCGAGGGACAAGAAAAAATAAAGAATGCGGCCTGGGGCGACATGTAGTCCGAGACGTACGATGCTCTGACGTTTCCCCAAGTTCGGGATCCCGAGGAGTCCCGACCCTCTCCCCCGGGGCCGGCCTCTCATCCTGAGCCGTGTTGCGACGGTCCTGGAACCCGGGGAGGCCCCCCTGAAACGGCGAACAGAACGGCCGTCCCCCGGTGGGAGGACATGCCGAGGGAGATCTCTGTTCCAAAACCCGCCTGCAGGTTTGGAGATGCCGCATGTTTTCCTGTGGCTTCGCCTATTGTGTATTTTGCTGGTTCCTGGCAGCTGCAGCCCGCACCACCTCTCGCATCCGGTCCGCTTAGGTGCTGCTTAGGCCACCGGTTAGCCGGCGCGTTAGGCAGTTAGGTTCGCGCGTGGCCCGCCCGACCCTTGACGCTGCTGGCGCGCTCGCCTGCGGCCGCGACAAAAAATCTATTCTGTATTTGCATTCTGCCTGTCGTTTGTTTTGTGGAATTGGGGAACTATTTGGGAAGATTTGTTCACGTCCCGAGCACGTCTGGGAAGCCCACTCCCCGTCGCGCCGCCCCCTCGCGGGCGCCGCCTGGGGTGGCCGTGGCAGGGCGCGACGGAGGGGCCCATCTCGGGCGATGCGTAATGGAAGGGGCGATAAAAGATGAGGATGAGGAGGAGGATGAGGAGGAGGAGGAGGAGGAGGAGGAGGGATGAGGAAGAGGAGGAGGAGGAGGAGGATTATGATGATGTTGATGATGATGAGGAGGAGGAGGAACAGGAGGATGGTGGTGACGGTGGTGATGGTGATGGTGATGGTGATGATGATGCTGTTGACGGTGGTGATGGTGATGATGATGGTGATGATGATGCTGTTGGTGATGAGAGTGATGATGCTAATGATGATGATGATGCTTATGATGATGGCGACGATGCTGATGATGATGATGATGACAATGACGATGATTACGATGGTGATGGCGGTCGTGATGATGATGATGATGATGATGATGATGGTGATGGTGATGATGATGGTGATGATGATGATAATGATAATGATAATGATAATGATGATGATGATGATGATGATGGTGATGGTGATGATGATGATGATGATGATGATGATGATGATGATGATGATGATGATGATGATGGTGATGGTGATGCTGATGATGATGAGGAGGAGGAGGAGGAGGAACAGGAGAAAGAGGAACAATTGAATAGTATTGTTTTCTAGAGCTCCACAGTTGGGCCTGACTAGCTGCTACCATACGGAACGCTCAGTGAGGAGCGACGCTCTCAGGCGCCGCATTGCGCAATGGAAGGGGCGGGCAAGGGGGCCAAGAAACGTGGACCCTAGGGGGGCATTCGCAAGGGGCTCTGTGGAGCCCCAGCGGGGCACGAAGGGTGCACGTGTCGTCGCCCCCCCCCCTCCCCTCCCACCCCACCCCACGGATCGCCTGGCCCTCCCCCCCCCCCTATATGACGTAACGCCCGACAGGCCCTCTTCCGCGCCCGCGTCCCGCGGGCCGCGGTGGGGCTCGGTGCGAACGGGCGTCGTCCTTCAGGGAGAGGAGGAAGAGGAAGAGGAGGAGGAGGAGAAGGAGGAGGACGGAGGACGAGGAGAGGAGGAGGAGGAGGAGAGGAGAGGAGGAGGAGGAGGAGGAGAGGAGGAAGGAGGAGAGGGGGGGAGGAGGAGGGGGAGGGGAGGTAGGGGAGGGAGTAGGGGGAGGGAGAAGGAGGAGGAAGGAGGAGGAGGAGGGGGGACGAGGAGGAGGAGGAGGAAAAGAGGGAGGAGGAGGAGGAGGAAAACTCTGCGACCACTTGCTAGCCCCACCTCTACGGGCCTGGTCGACGCTGGGGTATCGGACACCGCCGCCAGGGTTCATTCGGCTACAGTCATTCTTCAACGGTTTAGCCCCATCCGGTTTTTCGGACATCTGGTTTGCAGTGTTAGGGCTCGCATGCGGTTGCCTAATGAGGAGGAGGTGGAGGTGGAGGAGGAGGAGGAGGAGGAGGAGGAGGAGGAGGAGGACAAGGGATGCCGCCGATGCGTCTCGTCTGGTCCTCCTTCCGAATTTATCGCGCGATTGGAAGGTGGACCTGGTGTTGCACTGGGTCCAGTCCTTGGTGGTCCAGGCAATGGAGGCTCGACCCCCTCGGCCTGCAGAAGACGGCGACGGCGATCGGAAGGAGCACGAGTCGAGGATGTGACCCGTTCAAGGCAGCATCAAGTTGCTCAAGTCTCGGGCCGAACAGAAGGGGGGGATTGGGAAAGTGGGGGTTACGAAATCTGCTGCATGCAGCTGGTTTCGGCCCCACCGAGGAGCCCATTCCTCGACACATGGGCGCCTCTCGGCGCCGGGAGGCGCCGGGAAAATCAGCAACGTGAGCTGATTCTCAACCCCCCCTTTGCTACCCCCCCTTTCGCCCGGCCCGAAAGTCCCCGACGTGCGCCATGCAGCGATGCTGTCGCACGAGGAGGGGTGGGACTCGAGTGTCCCTCAACACGCAGCTCGGGAATATCCCTGGGGCCAGAAGCGTCAGGCACGACAAGGTCGTTGGGGTGCTAACTAGAAGGCAGGCGGAACCAGAGGTGTGGTAAAAACGACGTGTGCCAGCGAAGACCTCAAGCAGTAAAGCGTTTGCGCTCTGGTCCGGATGTGCGAGCTATGTGACGCAATGTGTGTGGTGCACGCTATGTGGCGCAGTCTTTGCGGTGCAGGCATTGTGACGCAACATACGTTGTCCAAGTCATGTGCTGCAGAGTTTGCGGTGCAAGTAATGTTGATCGTCTTGAAGTCGTGCACTCCGCTGCCCATGCAAGCATCCTACCCATCCAACTGCAACCTGTTGGCCAAAACTACACTCGTCGGCGACAACGACGATGACGATTACGCTGGTGATGCTGACGACGACGGCGAGGCCGATGTCGACGACGACGACGATGGTGATGGTGAGTGTGATTGTAGTGGAAGTGATGAAGCTGATAAGGACGAGGCAGCGGTGACCCTGGCAATGACGATGACGTGTTGGTGATGGTGATGATGACGAAGTGCCCCCGCGCATAAATTTGCCGAGGGCGACGGCACGGACGACGACGGCGATGACGGCGGCTGTGGTGATCCCGACGATGGTGTTGATGATGAAGATGGTGACGATGACGATGACGGTGACGAGCACGATGACGACGGCAATGATGACGTTGACGATGAGGATCACGCTTGTGTTGGTGAGGATGGTGAATAAGTGCGCGCCCGCAGAAATTCAACCACCAGCATGCGTTCCCATCGAAGGCCATTTAGTGTTCGTATGTGTTTGAAAACAGGTGTGCCGAAATGGTTAGAATATCAGTGGTCTTCGGGACGATGTCGGCATGCGCTCGCGTCGAAAGCGACCGTGTGGCCCGCATGGTATCAGTTGACAGAGCTGGTGGGCGAGCGATGGTGTTTGAACGGTTTCGACATGCGCGCGCAAGCGGCCCACATGGTCCCATTTGACGGAATGGCTTAAAAACGTTAGGTTTTCATTGTACATGAAAACACACATCAGCGAGTGTGCGTACGGGATTATGTCATTTAGATTTGACGAATATACATTTCCTCCAGTTGTTGAGTAACCTTGCTTTTAACATGTTGAATAACCAGTTGATCTTGAAGGACGGTGACGTGCGCGCGCGGCGGCGCACGCATATCCCCGCAATGCATTTGCCGGAAAGAAATGTTTGCACACGAATTCCGTAGTTCAACGCATGTGCACCGCATGGTATTGCATGACCGGAATGAGCAGGGGTGCCGATGCCAGGAAGATCTGGGATGGTATGTTTTCGTCTGGTAAATGAGCAATGAGGTAGACCCACATGCCAATGGCAAGACGAAGAGGCGGAATCAGCAGCCTGGCCTCGCGGGGAAGCGGTGCCTGCTACTTTTTAGGAACGGCGTCGGAGCGCCACCCGACGCACACGGCGCCCACGGGCGTCCACCGGGCGAACATTTGGACCTCCCAGCCGCCGCGGGGCGCCTACGGGCGTCCACCGGGCGAACGTCCAGAGCTCGCAGCCAGCACGAGGCGCCCACGACTCGCCCAGCCGCCGAGGAAGCCCGGCTTCCCAGGCGCCCACGGAGGCGGCCTCGGGCGCCCGTCGGGCGAAGGCCCAGAATCTCCGGCGGCTACGGGGCGGCGACGCTTGCCGTGGTATCGCTCGGGCGTGGGCATGCGAGGACCATCGAGGAGCAGCTTGGGTCATCTGGCAACAACATGCGCGCACCAAACTCAATAAAGCGCACGGGGAAGGGACGTCCGAGCGATGGCGAGTTGCCCACCCGGCAAAGCCGCAGAACTTGCAGCCAGTTCCGCACTACAAAAAAAATCGAGCCTTTCCGTGTAGGCATTGCCTGGGTAACAGGGCCAGCTCGAGGCGCCTCAAAGCCCGAGCGCTGGGCGCCACCTGGATATTCCCTCCTTGCTTCCTTCCCTCCTCCTCCTCCTCCTCCCTCCTCATCCTCCTCCTCCTCCTCCTCCATGCATCCATGATCAGGAAGAGGTCGAGCGGGGGCGACGAGACGACTCAGACGACGTCGGGGGGCCCGGCGCAGGAGATGGAAGGAAAGAGGGGAAGAGGGGAAGGAGGAACACCTGGATCTCCCGAGTCAGCCCGCAGACACATGCATCCATGATCAGAAAGAGGTCGAGCGGGGGCGACGAGACGACCCAGACGACGTCGGGGGCCCCGGCGCAGGAGATGGACGGAAAGAGGGGAAGAGGGGAAGGAGGAAGAGAGAGGAGTGGAGGAAGGGGGTGGAGGGTCAGGAGCGAGAGAAGGACCTACACATGCATTCACGTTGGTTTCAAGTACACATGGCGCGAACGCTCATCCGTGTTCAGGTACGTTGTTGGGCGCGTACGTCCTTGGTGGGCTGCTCAGGGAGCGAGGAGGACGGGGGAGGGGGCTGGACGGGGACTGCCTCCCATGCCCAGAGGATGCTGCCCCTCCGCGCGCCCCCATTCAGGGGAAGTGAGCTGGGGGAGCCTCCCGCGACCCCCCAAGTCAGCAGGGTAAATTTCTTCCTCCTCCTCCACCTCCTTCTCCTCGACATGATATGATCCGATTCGATATCGAGGTTGGCCGGCCTGGTGTCCTGGCGATGCGATGCGGCCCGATGCTTGCAGAACGCTGTTGTGCATCCTGGCGCGGCCGATTCGATCCGATTCCGGCTCCGTGCCCCATGCGGCCCGACCCGACGCACATTTCGATCCGGTCGGGCTTCCCGATTCGATGCTGACCGATCGCGTGTCGAGCCCTCCTGCCCCGACAGGCCCTGCCCAGGCCGTGCCTCGCCCCTCCCGACACCGAGGAGCGGACCGGGCAGAGCGAGGGACGGACGCGGGACGGAGAAGAGGAGGAGGCTGACGAGCAGGAGGGAGCGGGCGAGGAGGAGGCGGAGGCGGACGAGGAGGAGGAGGCGGACGAGGAGGAGGAGGAGGAGGAGGAGGAGGAGGAGGATGAGGAGGAGGAGGAGGCGGGCGAGTTGGAAGAGGAGGAGGAGGAGGCGGATGAGGAGGAGGAGACGGAGGAGGAGAAGTAGGAGGAGGAGGAGGAGGAAGAGGGGGAGGCCGTCGCCATGCGTGGGCCAAGGGCCGATAGAAGGCACCTTTGATGGGCTGGCTCGCCTGCCATTGCGACGCACTTCCCTCTCACGAGGTGATCAGAGGTGAGTTGCTTCTCGTGGGAGCCGGCTAGTCCACCGCGACCAACTGTCCACTTGCAGCAAGGTGGGATCAGGGAACGATCCCAGATGGATGGTCACATGTCCTTCTTCCAGGGGTCGTTGGGATCAGTTTTCCCCGGACCCCACTCCACCTACCCCACTTTTACGCCCCCCTGAGAATGTGGTGGGGCGGATGGTACCGAACACGTCACAAGCATATCTCACGTTTTACAATGGCAGTGCTTATGAAGTTGGAATGAACCAGGTGTAGTTTCGTGAGCCGCTCTCGCCGCGAATGGGAGCGATTTCAGCACGGAGAGGATCACAGTACCAAGACAATACGAGTTCTCCATCGTGCGTCACACGATCCTTGTGTATCTTGCCAAGGCGAGTTTTGTGAAGACGGTGAATTCGTCGCGTCTTGCCATGGGAAGATCTTACCGCAGCGGTAAAGTCTCCATTTTTCGCCTGCAGCTGCGACGATGTTGGCGAAGAGAAGTTTCATTCAGACATGTTGTCCGCGTCGAGGCAGAAAACACGGATGACGTACATCCGCCCATCATTCTTTATGAGACAGTCGCGACAATTTCTGCAACGCCCAGGCCTCGCGCTGAGGCAGCTGCAGCAGGAGCAGAGGCAGACGTTGGATGTCTAACCTCCTCTCCGGCGACTCTCGTATTGCTGACAGGATTGGACGCTTGCCCCAGCCCCCAGGGCGCTGTTGGCTGGCCGTCGACGTGCTCCGCAGGACTCTCGCTCTTCGTGCGGATGCTCCTGGCTGCCGCCTCTCCACGGCGCCTGCCGAGCAGCTCCGCGGTCTCCTGGAGGGGCGGCGTCTGGAGGGCCGGGGCTCTGTGGCTGGCATGCGTGAGATGGCCCAACTCCCCTGGAACGTCGAGGCCCTTGAAATCGTGCCATCCTGGGCGCCGGGATGCTGGCTGCCCGTGGTGGAGGACGAGCTGTATCTGGTCAGGTACCTGAGCTTGATGACGCTGATGATTGTGCTCCTGCTGTTTCGTCTCCTGGTGTCGTGCCTGCTGGCAATACGAGGCTGTGAAGCAGGAGTCCCTTGTGGAGTCGCTTTTTGATGAGTCAACCTTTCCCGATGATCTCCCGGGCCCTGCTGAAGAAACCGCTGAGGATCGTGCGTGCGGCGCTGAACACGATACACGCGTTGTTTCTGGACGCCGTGCTGTCACCAGTGCTACTTGGTGGACTGCGCGCCAGACGGTGGCGCGGGCCTGGCTCGTGCCGTCTGACGCTCAGGCCGGTCACGGCCCTCAGCTCTGCCATTCTGTGAAAGACGGTCGTGCGGATGATCCTCTCGCTTCTGCCGTCCGTGCCGCGCCTCGCAGGAATGAGGAACCTCGCGGTGGAGACGTTTGTCCACATCCTGCGGGTTTCTTCTTGGAGTCTCCCTTCCTGGACGTCGTGTTGTTCTCAGTGCGTCCTGGTGGAGTGCGCGCCGGGTGGTTGCCCGCGCACGGCTCCCGCCGATTCATTCCCGAAGCCGCTCGTGTCGAACTTCCTGCTGGTGTCTGCGCCGCGCTTCCCTTCGGGTTCCCCAGTGAGCTCGCGTCGGCCACGTGGACGGCGCGGTCCCGACGCGCATCGGCGCCATCGGGACAGGAGGTGGCACGGTAGCTGAAGTGCCTTGGCTCGCTGCAGCTTGCTCTTGCTCGTGCCCCCGCGTGGTGCGTCGGGCCTCGGTTCTGTTCGGCCGGTCCCTCCGCCGCTCGTGCCTGCTCTGGCCATCGCTGCGTTTCGGCTTCGGCCCCTCGAGGGTCTCCCTCGTCGCCGTCCGACCCTGCCTGGAAGGTAGCGCGTGACTCTAACCCACGCCCAAAACAACAGATGTCGAGGGTTCGGGGCTATGCTTGACCATCTCCGGAGCGACGACGAGAACGCTTCCTGTGCATGAAGCGGGCACTGTCTTCATGTGATGCATGGAGTACGGTCGATACCGATCGCGTCGATCACTCCGGTAAATAACTCCGCTGCTACCCCATAGCTGACAAACGCTCATGCTCGATACGTGTCCTGCGGTTCTCCCTCCGTCGACTCCCCTGCATCCCAGTTTCCCCATCCAGCCCCTGTTTTCCCGCCTCCATCCGTACATGTCCGTCCCTCCTTCTTTGCCCTCATCCCGTCCTCCCCTCACCTGTTCTCGGCCCCCTTCCAGACCTCCCCCATCGCCCGCTCGCCCCCGCCGCCCGCCCTGCCCACAGCCTCGCCTCCCTCACCCCCCCTGCCCTCCTGCTCTCCTCCCGCTGCGTCCCTCGCTCCCCTGCCCTCCGTCCGCTCCCCTCCTGCCCTCGCGTCCCCGCCCTCCGTCCCTCCCCCCCTCCGCCCCCGCCTCCCCTGCGGCCCAGGCAGAGATCATCACCGTTCCAGCCCCGGTCCTGTCGCGGGCGTTCCAAGAGCTCAGTGGGGCGCTGGGGCGGTGCTTCGTGAGGCCAGGGGAGCACGGAGAGAAGCATGGAAGACGGCGCGGAGGAGCAGAAGGACGGAGAAGCGGGGAGGATGAGGGCGAAGGAGGAGGAGGAGGAGGAGGAAGGGGAGTAGGAGGAGGAGGAGAGGAGTAATCAGAGAGGAGGGGGCGAGGAAGGAAGAAGAAGAGGAGGAGCAGCACGAGCGTCGTGAACATGATCAGGGCCGCGATGGTGCGAGGAGGATGAGGAGGACGAGGAAGAGGAGGACATGGGCGACGAGGAGGATCCTGTGCTGGAGGATGGAGAGGAGGAGTAAGGGTGAGGGACCAGGAAGATGAGGGCGCAGAGGGGGAGGAGGATGGCAGGGTGACTGGGGAGGAGTGGAGGTAGACAAGGGGGGAAGGGAGGAGGAGGGGACGGGAGCATGGACAGAGGGAGCAGCGACGGCGAATACGAGGGAGGACGATACGCATCGGGAGGGGAAGGGGGGCGCAGGAGGGGCAGGAAGCGAGCAGACGAGGGGAGGAGGCTTGGCAGGAGGGCCGAGCGAGGGAGGAGGACGGCAGCGGGAAGAAGAGGCGGAAGAGGAGCGCTCGAACGACGGGCAGGAGGGGCGGAGGGGGGACGACGAGGAGGAGGCGGAAGAGGGACGAGGAAGGAGAAAAGAGGGACGAGGAGGGACGAGGGAGAGGGGGACGAGGGACGAGGGGGACGAGGGGGAAGAGGGACGAGGGACGAGAGACGAGAAAAGGAGGCGGAAGAGGGACGAGGGACGAGGGGGAAGAGGGACGAGGAAGGAGAAGGAAGAGGGACGGTGGAGGAGAAAAGAGGACCAGAGCAAACGATGCATCAACGATCTTGCTATGTGCCCTTCCGTCCAGAGTCCTCTCCTCGGGCTCCCCTCCGGACGTTCTATACTGCACGACGCGGAACGACCGCTGGAGAGACGAGCGTCCCCATTGGCTTGCCGTTCGGGCGACGGCCCCGTTGTGGAGAAGGGAGGTCCCGTCCACTGCTACACATGTTTGAAGCTCCGGGGCGGCAAAGAGGGGGGGGGTGACTAGGGGGGGGGATATCATATCGGGGGCATGATATTTCCCCAGATGTCATGGCGCCTCTTCTTGTTTCATTGCGTCCCTGGCCCCCCCGCTGGGCCGCGCACATGCCGCCGGTCGTGATTCGCACCCCCCCCTCTTGGACACCCCCCTCTTGGCCGCTCCCGAGGGATGCACGATCAGAACAAGTCAAGGAGGTGTCAAGCGAGAGCCCCAGTTTGAAGCAGTGCGGCCGTAGTTCCAGGCAGCTGCGTCATGCTGTGAAGGTTCAGCCCTTGCAACCCGAAGACGCTTCAAGTGCCCCATTGTCCGAGCTGCTACCCTTCCTCCGCGCTGCTGCTGCGCAGTGGTACGCTTTGAGCCGTGACACATGAGCAGACTTGAGGCGAGAGCTCTACACGTCTTGTTGTCGCAACATAACAGGCCAAGTCGCTCGGCCTTGATGCAACAGCCACATGAGCGACGCGGAAAAACAGGTTCGTCTGCGCCGACATGGCCGCGCAAGATGTTTGCGTAAGGTCGCGTGTAAGCGGCCTCGTCTCCAATGTAGCATTCCGCGCTAGCGACCCGCGTAAGCTGCCGCGTAAGGTCGCTATGCCATCTCGTGTAAGACCCGTTTCAAAACAACCTTCTCTCCAGCCTTGTAGCGGTGGCCAACGTGTTGCCCGCCTGGCCACCGCGCCTGGCGGGGCGACGAAGGGGCGTCTCACATAAGGAAAATGATTGCTGGGGAGGAGGAGGAGGCTCGGAGGAGCAGAATCGGGAACAGGCGGAGGAGGAGGAGGATCTCAATGCCTCTGTCTCCATACACGTTTCCCTCGCCCCATCTTCCCTTTCTCCACCCCTCCTCTATACACTCTTCTGTGTGTCTCGTCGACCTCAGCGTGGCATCTCCACGCCTGCGCTGCTGAGCCTGCGTGAGCAGGGTTCTTGCCACAATTGCTGCCAGCAGCGGCGGCAGTGCGTGCTACCGGATCGCTCCGGACAAAAACAAACCTGAGTTTTCTTCCTTGTCCCCTTCGTCCATGTCCTCCCGTCGATCTCCCGCACTTATGCACCATCCGGCGTCCCCACTCCTACACCCTCTCCACCCTTCCCTCGCTGCCCCCTCTTCCTCCACCTGTCCTCCCCCCCTGCACTTCCCTTCCCCTATCTCTTCCTCACACCTCCACTCCCCTCCCTGCCTCACATCCCTCCCTCCCTCCATCTCCTCATCCCTTTCTCTCCTCCACCCTCCGTTTCTGCCTCCTCCTCCTCGTCCTCCTCCTCCTCCTCCTCCTCCTCCTCTTCCTGCTCTTCTCCTCCTCCCTCTCCTGTTCAATCCCTCTCACACCCTGGAGTCGCGAAAAGCTGTCCAGAAAGGCCCGTGACCCGCGAGACCGTCCGAAGCGTTCCTCCTTCCTCCTCCCTCCTCGCCCCCGCCCCCTATCACCTCCTCCCCTCCCTGTTCTCCTCCCCCCCTTCCTCCTCCGCCCCTGCTCGCCCCTCGCCGGTGTCTCCCCTCCCGCTTCACCACGGCTCTCGCCGGGCGGGCAGCGGAGGTAGCGCCATGGTGCAGTACCATACGGCGCCGGCCCCCGCTGCGCGGCCGTGAAAAAGTCACGGCGGACGGTCTTTCCCGATGTTCGGGGACACGTAAGATTCGAGTAAGCCAGAACTCGGGTCTGCCGACGTTTTTTGGCGAGCGCGTCCTGGGTTTTAACGTTCCAGTTTTCGTGGGACGTCTGCTGCGGGAGGTCGCGTCACATTTTAGATTGGGTCTCGTCATTTTTATGATGGCCCCGTCAGGCCAATCCGAGTCCCCCGTACCCGAGTCGCACGTCTCCCCGAAATTTGTTCGGCGATTCGGGGCCCTCTTGGACCGTCTTGGGGGCCTCCGGGGCCGCCATGTTTGCCTCGAAGAGCCCCATGGAGGCGCCATGGCCGCCTGGGGACCAGTGCTACCACAGCGGGTGGAGGGTCCCTTGAAAGACTACAGGAACTCTTCCAGGCAGTTCTTGGCATTCTTCCACGCCTCAACATGCCGCAGGCACGGTGGCGGATTAAATGATGCACTATATATATTTATAGATATATAGATATAGATAGATATATATATATATATAGATAGCGCAAACTGTGTGGTGCAAGCTATGTGCTGGAAACTATGTGGTGCAATCTACGTGGTGCAATATATGTGGCGGCAGCTGTATCTGTGCAACGTAATCAGTGCCATCTATTTGGCGTGATCCATGTGGTGTACATTATGTGGTGGAAGATATGTGGTGTAAAGTACGTGGTGCGATAGATGTAGTGCAATTTCTGTTGAGCAAGCTATGTGGTGCAAGATAGATGGCGCAACCAACGTGGTGCAATGTATGTCGTGCAAGCTACGTGGTGCTGCAAGCCGTGTGATGCAAGCTGTGTGGTGAGATCTGCGTGAGTCAATCTATGTGGGGCGCAATACATGTGCAACACATGTGGTGCAATCTACGTGGTGCAGTTCACCCTGCCGAACTTGAAGTGAACAACCCCACTGCTCGCGCAATCATCCCAACCAACCAACCTCAACTTGGTTTGCAAAAGCCTTCCGGCGGCGATTGCGATGACTGCTCGGGGCTGGCTGGCGCATCGCCACAAGCCAGCGCCGAGCAGTCACAACATAGATTGCGCATGCTCTCGCACGCAGCTGCCAGCTAGTTTGGCGCGACCGACGCGGCCGCCCTGGCTTTGACCGCTGGGCACTTCCCAGCGGGCGCTTCAGTGCGAGTCGGCGACTTTGACGGGAGCGGTACCATGGCAATGTCGACAATGGTAGGCGCGATGATGATAGTCGCGATGCTGGTGACGATGATGACAACGACGACGGCACGGCCACTGACGGCGCCGATGTTGATCACGCCAACGAAGATGGCGGCGTCCTCGCGTCGGTGGTGAAGGTGTTGTAAGGAGTTGGACATGCGCGCAGACGACGTGCGAGAGTGGCCCGCATGATATTATTTGACACGGATCGTGCCCAACCCCCCAGGGGATATTATTTGAGACGGTGTATTTTTGAGCACGCGTGCAAGGGCGTTCGAATGATTTCGGCAGGCTGCGCGAGAGGCCCGTTTGGCAGAATTGAGTAACAATGTTGAAACCCCGGTGGTGTCCTTAAGGATTCGCAAGACCGCGAGCGCATGTTTGTTTTTGAACATTGGTGTTGCAACACCATGTAGTATATTTGTTTTCGGGGCAGTCGGATTTGAAAGCCGTACGACATCTAAAGTTTTTGAATGATGTCGACATGCGTGCGCGACGACGCGCGCGTGTGCACTTCGCCCTGTCTGTTGCAGGGGGTTCTTGCGACCGCACGCGCGCAGCGGCGTTCTTGTGATTTCGACACGCGCGCGCGAGAGGCCCCTTCGGCAACATGTTATGAAATATGTTGAACAGTCGATGGGCTTCTGAAGAATTCGCAAGAGCGCGGGCGCTGCATGTTGAATATTACTGTTGCGAACCATGTGTTTTTTGTTGTTACCGGGACAACAAGTTTTGAGTTCCCCACGAAACCTAAGGTCGTTGAAGGATTTTGGCATGCGCGCGACGACGCACGCGTGTGCACTTCGTCCCGTTGCTTGCAAAGGATTGTTGAAAACTGCAGAGTTTGGACAAACGAGTGCGTGCTGGGATGATATGGGTTTATAGTTCGGATGGGCGTTGCGGCAGAGCCACATGCAAATTGTATACGTACGAAAAAGGGGAACGTTAAGTTCGGCTGGGGAGGGGGTAGAATCTATCTTTGTTTCAGAAGGGAGAATCCATGTGACGTAAGCTACATGATGCCGCCTATGCTGAGCAATGCAGATCAACGCAAGGCCACGCGAAGCAATGCAACGCAATGCAAAGCAACAAAGCAAAGAGAAAACCAATGCAAAGCAGTGCGAAGCAATGAAACGCGGGCGGCGACCAGGCGACGGGCGGCGACGAGGCGGCGACGGCGGCAACATGGCGGCCAGAGCGGCCCGCATGCACAGTTCCTCAGAAGACAAGTGAGAATCCCGAAATACTAGCACTTTTGGGGGAACATTGAAACATTGTTTTCGCCTCTCTCGAGGCCCTCTCGCGGGAGTTCTTGGAGGCGCGTTTGCTGTCCTTGTGGTCTCTTCGAGCCGTCCTGGGGCCATCGAGGGGTCTCTTGGGCAGTCTTGGGATGCCCTGGCGGCCTCGTGCCGCTCTTCGGGGCCACCGCGGAGGCCCCTGACTTGCGCGGAGGCGCGAGTCACTCCCAGGGGGGGGGGGG